ATTCACAACAAGTTTTTGAGTTATTGATGGACAGGCATATCTACCGTTCCCCTTATGTCTGGATAAAATTGGGCATACCGTTAGATTGGTGCCAAAAAACATTAGTTGCAAAAAATTTTATTTTGTTCCAGCACAATTCTACGATTTTTAAAGCTAAGTAAACGAGTAAACACCCTTTTGTCAAACGCTTATATTTATATTTATATTTAATACTTTATTTCATCAAGCTAATATTTTATTTTAACATCTGCTAGAATAGTTAATTACTTTCGTAAATATTTATTTTCTATTTAAAATTTTTAATTAATTTTAATCAATAACATCATAACTTGTTGTGAATAAATCTTAAGTAATTCTACCATAAAATATAACTAAATTTATATGATTATGTCAATACAATAGGCTTTATGGATGTAATGTAGCATTATAGATGTACATTATAGGTATATCTATTGAAGTGCAACAGTATTCTTATAATACATTTAATTAAGCCTATATTTTTATGCAATAAAAAAGTTTCGTTTGTTTTATGGAAATAAGTTTTTTGTTTTTATGATATTTAACGTATATTTTGTAAAAAATAGTAAGGCGGCGTTCACAAAGTACGTACGCAAAATTTTTGTCAATAATTGACGCTCCTCCCTCCTACACGCCCATCGCACAAAGGAATTTAACATGGCGACATACGATTTGGCATGACCCCCTCCCCCCTACGAGTGCGTATGTACTTTGTGGACGCCGCCTAATAACATTTTTAAATCAAATAAGATTTATGTCGAGTAGTCATTCATTAATTTTAATTTAATTTACCAATATTAGAAAAATAATAAATATGATACAATATCCTATTAAAATTAAAAAATTTACTTTTAATATAATATACTCAATACTTAATATGCTTTATAATAAATTGTAAATGATTGCGCTAATATCTTAAGTACCAAAAAATCTAATCATAAAAAAGGATTGCAAGCAATGCTATATGAACCACATTTACATTTAAGCGATTATAGAATCAACAAGCTTTTGTTGATAGAGATTTCAATAAAGTTTGATTTGATTAATTTCGAAAATTTTAGATATTTTATTAAAAATCAATAGGCATGTAAATTATGTACATTATCATAATTAAAATTGTATTTTGGATTAGTATATAAACTAAAATTAGTGAGAAGTGATTTTCGATAAGAGGAAAGGCAGAAGGGACAGGAGGGAAAGGGAGGGATGAGAGAAGATTGAAGCAATGGAAAAATAAGTTGAATTTGAAACCATTTATCTGTCCAATTGGTTTAATATTTGGTTTAGTAAGGAAGTGATTGGCGACATGGAGTGGGATGGAAAGGGAGGGCAGGGAGGGAAGGGAGGGAAGGAAGATGAGGGAAGAAATAAGTTGTATTTTAATTAATTTATTGGTCTAGTGGATTTAATATATGGGGTTTGATAGACACTCAGCTATACTTACGGATGTAGTGTAGGGGTTAGTGAGTCAATATAATAGATATAGTTATTAGTTTTATTATGAAATTGTTTTGTTTTAAGTGAATTGATTTTGAATTTTGAAATGAAATCGTGACGAGTCGTGTTGTCTAAAGGCTCCTTTTGATGGGTCTCGAGTGATCGTTAAGGTGTCTATTGTTTCAGGTATGGACCGCATGAAGCGGTGAGAGCACTCTAGGCGATCGACCCGTACAGAGCGGTATTAGGCGCCTTCAGACTTGCGAGGGTTGGAGCCTTTAGGCTACGACAACCAATGAGGGCATCTGACTTTAGGCACCTACCGATGATGAGGGAGTGAAAGCCGGCTCAAGCCACGGTAGATGTAGACAACGGTAATGATGAGCCCAAACTTACTCACTTTGGTACAAAATCTATCGATTTTACTGTATAGTATAGAAACAATGAAATCACTGAATCAAATACACCGAAAATATTTGGATTAACATTTGATTAAATGTTGAAATTTAATATACAATTGGTTTCAACGGCTATTAAATGCTCAAAAATTAAATCAATTATTTCACGGACTCGACTTTTTTTACCAATTCCTACACTAAAATTATTGTATAACTCATTAGTTATCCCACATATGACTTATGCCTCCAGTGTTTGGTCACTAACTTATGGCAAACATTTGGATAGGATTTGTAAAATCCAAAAAAGTATGGCCCGGCTTATAATGTATGTTGACTTCAGAACCCATTCAATGCCATTATTTAACGATTTAGGTTGGATGTCATTCAAAGACCTTCTGAAGTATGAGATGTTTAAATACATTTTAAAAAATCTAAACTGTTTGGATGTCATCTCAGGTTTTGTGAATATGAGTGCCAAAGGAGATCCAGATCTTAAAAGATCTTTAAGTCGTTAAAAATATCTGCTCCTAAACATAATTATACACAGAATACTGTATTTTATAAAGGAATCCAATTGTGGAACTCATTATCACTAACTCTTCTCAATTGCAAAGATTTTAAAACTTTTAAATCTCATTTGTTTTCAAATTTTAAATATTTATGAATATTTTATTGTAATTTTTAATTTTTAAATATAGAGTATTTGTTAAGAACATCATCTGTTATTAGATGACACATTTCTCTCTAAATAAAATTGAATTGAATTGAATTGTTTTCCAGGCACTGGCTATGGCCAGGTATGTGTGTATTGCATTGCTGTTCCAATATAATCTTAAAGAATGGAAGCGCTTGTTAATATGTATTACCACTGTTTGTAGTGGCACTTTTATTTTGATACTCAGCTATACTCATGAATGCAGTGTAAAGCTTAGCGAAGCAATTTTGTAAATATCGCTTTCCAGGCACTGGCTATGGTCTGGTATGTTTACATTGCATTGGGGCCCATAACCATTGTTACATAACCAGTTTGTAATGGCACTTTGATACTCAGTAAATACTTATGGATGCAGTGTAGGGTCTAGTGAAACAATTTTGTGGGTATAGTTTTCCAGGCCCTCTATGGCCAAGTATATTTACATTGCATTGGAGCCCAACTATTATCTTAGATAATGAATGAGGTTTATTAATCTGGCTTAATACCGTTTGTAGTGGCACTTTTATTTGGCTACTTAGCTGTACTCTTGGATGCAGTGTAGGGGTTAGTGAAGAAATTGTATATTCATTCCATAGGTTTAACATGGAGTTTAGTGGGATATTTAGCACTTTTATGCTATTTTAACATTTTCAAGAAATTTTGAAAATTTTCAAACCATTGTTGTGGATCTGGATATATACACTGCAGTTTTAAAGCTTTTGGTTAAATTTATTTTACCAATTCAACCAAAATGACCTCATACCATAATAAGCCTATGGAATTTTTGTTAAAGCAAGTGTCCATTTGGTCATAATGTACCGTTCATTCATTATGTCGTCACTTTTCCATATAATTAACATAAGGCATGAATCATAAGTGACATTACGTCATCGAAATCACTTTTGCTGGGATTTTCCATAGAAAAAACCTTTAACTGGTTTTAATTGTAATAATTTTCGACTATAAGTCCAAGGGCGTGACTTCATTTTCGCCACTTATGACGGGGGTGGGGGTGTGGGTGGATGGTCCAAATTGATCTTATAACCCACACTTATTACTTCGTAAATGTTGGTAAAAAGGTTAAAACAAAAAGTAATGTTTTATCATTGTTACCATTGTTACAAATGATTTCCAATTGAGAAATTTATTTGATTAAAACCGAATTATCAAAGGTTACTTTTCTTTATAAGTATATATATATTCAGATAGAGTGAACATTAGTTTATTATAATATTTGTAATAATTTTCTGAAATGTCTACACTTTTGGAAAAGTTTCAAATTTGGGATACGATTGACACGACTATTAAACAGGAAATTAAATTATTTCATGTTTTTTGTAGTTCTGGTTATGACTACGGGTATAATATACTATTGGTCACAAACAATGACACCGTCTATGGGTGGGGTGCTAATGGTGGTGGATGTCTGGGGTTGGGTCACGGAAGTCAAGTGGAAACACTACAACTTATACGTAAGTTAAGAGGCAAAAGAATCCAACAGTTTATCAATGGTTATGACTTTGTTCTGGCTATCACTGAGCAAAACCATGTGTTCAGTTGGGGGCTCAATGACCAGGGACAGTGTGCTAGAGAAGCAACAGATGAGAAAGTGTGTTTAAAACCACAAGATATATGGTATTTGAATGACAAGAATATCACATATGTTTGTTGTGGTTTTGGACACTCCCTGGCGCTCACCACTGATGGACGCGTATACGAGTGGGGCAATATTTATGCGTCAGTTGCTTTCAATTCGAACTTCCGCAAATGTTCACCAGTTTTGATACAATTTGAAAATAATCATCAAATTAAAAGTATTTTTTGTTCAACTCGTCAATCATTTGCCATAACAGTCGAGGGTTTGGTATTCAGTTGGGGTTACAATTATTTCTATCAATTGGGACATGGTGATACGGATGAATATATGTATTCACTCAAATTGATGTCACCCAAATTGATCCCAGGTTTAACTGACATAACCTCAATCCATACAGCATCAGATTCTGAAAATGACACCAGATTCACGTGTTTTGTATCTAAAAATAACTGCATATATTTTTGTGGTCAGTATAAAGATGATATGCAGCAAGTACAATTGCAAAGCACACCGGTACAAATATCATTAAAACTAAATGTGCAACAGGTTGAAAATTATTATTCGTTTTTATTCCATTCTAATGTGTTGATACAAAATGGTGATGTCATTTGTGGGATTGAATCACCTAGTAGAGTGGTTGAATATAATTATAATAATTTTGTTGATTACTATGCCAATGAAGCTAAATTAAGTTATAATACATTATATATCAATACAAGTGAACCAAAATCACAATTTAATCAAGATATAAACACAATTTCACCGGATAATATTAATTCAGATGATGGTAGATATTATTTATAATAAAAATTAATATATAACAATTATTCATTTTATAAGCAGGATCATCTAATGTGGAAAATAAAATTAGTGAAACAAAAACGCAATTACATTCACAACTAAATACTACATCACTTACGACCAAAGATTCAAATAAAGGTTTTAATGTTTATAAAATACAGTATATTTTCTGTTAATATATATTTCAAACTTTCATTAAAATTAGGAAATAATTTGTTTGAAAATCATTACAAAAATCTTTTCGAGGAGTTATTGGATAAACCTCTGGGTTCGGGAGGTTTTGGAACCGTATTTAAAGTACAGCATAGAATCGATGGACACATATATGCCGTCAAAAGAGTTGGACTAAAAAGTGAAATTATAATTATAACTAATTTTACATAAAAATAAAAATTATAAAAAAAATATTTTCAGACTTTACTGAGGAATACATACAACGAGTCTATAAAGAGGTTCAGAATTTAGGAGCCGTTCGCTCAGAATATTGTGTTCAGTATTACAACTCATGGCCTGAAGGCAAACACCTCTACATTCAGATGGAGTTCTGTTCACAGAATCTGCGGAATATTCTTGAAGTGAAACCACAAGTATTTGGGCGACAAATAGGAGAAGCCATGGATTGTGTCGAGTATTTCATTTCGTGTGAAATATTACGACAAACCTTAGAAAGTGTTGAGTATTTGCATGAATTGAATCCACAGAATCATTCACAGAGACCTCAAACCAGAAAACATATTAATTGCTGAAAATATAAGGAACGGTAGATTTGTTAAGTTATGTGACTTTGGTTTGGCTGTTGAGCACCAAAGGGAAACTCAAAGTCACTCCAAACACACGGGAACTCCTAAATATATGGCCCCAGAATTGTATCAATCAAAGTATACTGTAAAAGTGGACATCTATAGCCTGGGTATTATTTCAATGGAATTGTTCGACATATCATTAGAGTATGTTTTAAAGTTTAATTTTATTTATCTTAGATTTTTATTCATTTTATATTTTTAAGGGACAATGAACTGGATAAATATATTTCAACGTCATTTCACGAGAAGATAGTAAATATATTACAAATATTTGGATCAATGATATCAGTTGGGCCTGGTATTAGACCAAGGTGTAGTGATATATTACATGGAAGTGATCAGTGGTCACTTAGCAAGTACATTATTGAAGCAAATATGAGTGAATTTAGTCGATTTATAAATCAATTCAAATCCGATGATTGCTTCATATTCAATGAACTTATTTCATATAAATTACTAATTAATCAAACTAGCAAAGTTGTTCCAGCTAATTTACAAAGTAAACCAGATAGACCTGAACATGCGAAAGGTTATATCATTATGTTGATAATTTAACAAATTAGTAGTATAATTAATTTCAAATATATAATGTCTATTAATTTCTATGATTAGGTGTAATCCCTGCGAGTGAGTCGATTAGTAAATCACGTGATAATGAATCCAATGTCTCGACCGGAGGTGTGCAGAGTTTACGCGAGAAGTTTGAAATGTTGTCCCAAAATAGCAAAACTGGCAAATAATACCTACAACTCAAGGAATACAATGTTTTTATACTTTCCAGCATTTATTTAAAGTTAATATTTCTCTATTTTTGTAACATTTCCAATACTATTCATTTGAATGTGAATATTCTTGAAGTGCTATGTTTTCTAATATAAAATTGAATTTTTCTTATATATTGATAAACTTTTGATAAATACTTATCATTTTTTACAAAAACCTAGTGAAATAAGTTCTATTAAAATACGTAAATATAATTTTCAAAAACTATTACCTTGTCTGTATATTATTCTTTTATCTTATTTAACATTTATTATTATTAATTATTAATTATTATTATTGAAATATTTTAAATAGTTCTAAACAGTATGTTTATGTTATAATAATAATTTGATAAATAATAAATACAATGTATAATGCAAATGTAACTTATTTTGAATAAATTGTAATGTATTATTTCACTGAAAAGGTTATATTCAAATTATTTTTAACAATAGAAACAATTTGAAATTAGCTAGAAGTGAGAGATAATGTGAATATGACTACATTATGTCAAATCATAATGCCACTTACAAGCAGTGTGACCAACCGTCCTTTATTGGAGAGGACAGTCCTCTATTTATGGTGTCTGTCCTCTGTGCTTTAAATGAGAAATAGTGAACATTGAATGTCCTTTATTTGTGAAAATTATAAAATGCCTTATTTAGAAAAATAATTGCAACATAAAACTGCTATGTAAATTGCATTTCACATTATAATCATAATAAAAAACATTATCATTTAACTAAAATTCGTTTAAGTGCAGAAAATTTATATGAAAATATGTAAAAAAACTAATAACAAAATTAGTCAACAATTTCTGTTGTTAGTGAGATCAGCAGAAAAAAATATTTTCAAAAAATTGTAATTCAATTCCACTATAAAATATGTTGTCCACTATTTGTCCTCTATTTATTCAATNAAAAATATTTTCAAAAAATTGTAATTCAATTCCACTATAAAATATGTTGTCCACTATTTGTCCTCTATTTATTCAATTATTTTATTAAAATGTCCACTAATTACGAAACTTGAGTTGGTCACACTGCATTGAAAAGAGTTTTTGTATTACTATTTTGTTGTTTACGTTTTCAATGGCAATATTCAATGTAAAAATGCAAACTTTGACCTGCTCTAGGACAGTTATTTTAATAGATATTTGAAAATTTTAAAATGCTAATCTTGTTCATTTTTTGAGCTCTATTCAGTTAACTAATTAGATATACTCAAAAACTTCTAGAATAGTCACAAAAAAATATCTACCTTTCCTCCCGGTGCTCTGATTTAATAAAATATTTTTATATTTTATATTGATAGAGAATTAAATTATCTACATTTTCCATATCATAACTTTCCAAAATTCCTATTCTTGTTAATGCTATAAATTGTTAAAAGTTTGATTTTTAGACATACCGGGCCTCCTAGGCCAATAATTATTGATTTTTGGATAAAATAATTTTTCATGTATCTCCTACTTTTTTATGCTCTTTCAAATGAGCTATAGTTTGCCAAGATGTGAATTATAGTTTTTAAGTTATAGAATAATTTACATAAACTACCTGTGCCGAGCTACCGGTGCTCGAATCAACCTGTCTCTTCGGGAACACATGTAAGATTTAAAACCATAGTTGGGGTTTAAATCGATTAAAAGTAAATGTTCTAGTTAAGAAATCATCAAATTTTTACTAAAGCAAAGGCATTGCGGAAACTTTTTTCCGGATCCGATAGATTTATTTGCTTACAATTCATACTCCACACTGAACAATTCATAAGTAGTCATTCCCAGACTATAAATGTCGCATTTATTTGTGTATTTTATAATGCTCATCCTAACTTCGGGTGCCATATATTTAAAAGTACCCACACCTCCCGTGTGATTAGGATTACCCTGATTATGAAGTGCAGCCAAGCCGAAGTCACATAACTTCACGAATCGACCCTCTCTTGCGTTTTCGGCGATCAATATATTGTCGGGCTTAAGGTCTCTGTGAATGATTTGTCGATTCAATTCATGTAAATATTGAACACATTCCAAGAGTTCCTTAAATATTTCACAAGTAATGAAGTATTCGATTAAATTCATGGGTTCTCCCGTTTGTCGACCAAAAACCCGCCCTTTGTTTTTGATAATAGATTTAAGGTTTTGTGAATAATAATCCATTTCAATATATGAATAGTTGGTTTCAAACCAATATCTAGATAGATTAACATTAAACGGCGATCTTATCGTAGATAATTTCGAGATTTCTTGAAATATTTTCAAATTTTTCTCCAAACTCTGTTTTATGTCTTCACATTCTGTTCCAATTAATTGATATAACATTTGAATATAACATCATTAATTTTAAATGTCAAATTATTTTGATCTTTAGCAATTAAAATGTAATCAATCATATTCTTAAGATAATTTTAGATAATGAAAAATAATTTACCTTCAATTTTAATTTGTTTTATAGCATAAATTTCTTGTGATATTCCCTTTTTTTTTACTTTATATACTTTACCGAATGAACCAGTTCCAATATATAAAAGGATAATATATTGTTCTTCCAAGATATTTTCATTAACTATATAAAAATTATATTTAAATAAATATTGTTATTATAATGTTAGTATTATTAACATTAATGTTCACATGAATTGTTAATTAAAAATATATTACTGGTAAAACGACAAATACATATTTTATAATTTAGGTGATTTAAGTTAAAAATCTTATATAATAATAATATGTAAGTCACTCTATTAACAATTAAATGTATCCTCCAAATTATTCAGTTACATAATCCTACATTATGTTTTATAATCTCATTAACAATCATAATATACTCAAAGAATTAACTATCTCTACGCAATAATAATTAATTACTTAAAAACGGATGATAAAAACTTAATCTTCTCTTCATGGAGCTATAAAGCTATACTTTGTATAGAAATCTACTATGGTAAGCGAGCCATTTTAGTCCTTATATTGAAACATATTAGATCTCGTCATAGAAAATGTATATTACAAAACTGGTGTTTGTGAACTCCATTTATTCTTAAACTAACCATGATAAAATTAAGCCATTTAAAAAGAATTTATAGAATTTGATTTTGATTTTGTCAAAGACATTATGTCTCTACACTATGTTTAAGGGAATAAATAATTATATTTTGTACAGCAAGTACTATACTAGATAAAATCCTTTAATTTAAAGTTAATGTTAATGAAAAATTCCTAAAATAGGTACTCGGTTATTTAAAATTTACTTTCAAATTCAGTTATCAGATTAATTATTAATGTGTAGTTTTTGCTGTACAAACAATGACTATTTATACCCTTAATGGGGAACCCGTTAGGTGTTAGCAAATTGTGCCAAGATATTCTGTAATAACACAAACTATATGACCATATCGACCATTTAAATCAATAAAACTTGGGAAATATCATCAAAAAGTCCCGTTAATCCAATAATAGTCACTGGTGACATGCACATTTTAAATGTTAAATAACATTATAAAAATGGATTGCTATTCAAAAATACAATAAATTTTTATATGAATTCATAGACTTATATTTTCAGTAAATATCACATTTTAAATTAAAATTTGACGAATAATTTTTGTCAAAGTATTTTTAAAGTGCCGTTTATGATTTATATATAACTAAAACGTTATTTAATCTATAAAATGTGCATGTCACCAGTGACTATAATTGGATTTACAGGAATAATTGATATTATTTTCCAAGTTTGATCGATTCAAATGGGCGATACGGTCATATAGTTTATGTTATTACAGATTATACTGGCACAATTTGCTGTCACCTAACGAGGTTCCCAATTTACTATTAAATGGAGTTCACAAACTTTTTGCAGCTGTGAATTTTCTATGACAAAAACCAATGTATTTTCAATGGAAAACCTCTTTTTTGGTAAACTTAAATTGTGCAGTTACCATGGTGAATTTCAATATAATAAAAATATTTTTACAACCCAAAACGAAGTGGCTATAAATCCATGAAAGGATTAAGATTGGATTATACGTTTTGGAGTAATTCATTTCTATAGCGTAAAGATAGTTAATCCCCTGATTTATAACATTTTTAATTAGTATATGATTTCTTTCAGCGTTACTAAGTAATATAGCATACAATGATTCAATTAAAAATTTTATAAATATACTGTATTTACCTATATAATCTTGAACATTTTTACTTTTAACAGCAGCAATTAACTTATTCTCAATTTGCGGAATTTGTTGTATGTTTATTGTTTTAAATGTTACACAGATGGTATCAAGAATCGCTTCAAGTATGGTTGTATAAGACATTTTTATAAAATCTGTTTTATAAATCCCGTAAACTTCGTTTTCACCTTTCGCGAAGCACAAATCGGAAGGTTTATGGGCATCAATATTTACAAATTCAATAATTTGAACGTCTGTTTGCAGAAGCACTGGGTGTTTGTTAATATATTCTTTGTTGTTCTTTAGGTATTTGCCGCAAATATATATTAGACCATCACAAGTTAAAAAATGTGTTATATAATCACAACAGGTAATATTTTTAACATTGAACATATTTGTTATTATTTTGGGTCTTGGTTGGAAACCCAATTCCTCATGACCTAATTGATAATTCTCATTGTCACCCCAACTATATACCAGACCATCTAATGTTATTGCGAATTTCTTCATTTCGTAGCAATAAATCGATTTAATTACACATTTATCCGGGAACACAATTTTATAAGGTTTATATTTGGAGAAATTGTACACATGGTCATTTAACGTATAACTACCCCACGCGTATACGTCGCCATTTGACGTGAGAGCCAAGGAATTAGCAGTTCCGCAGCTTATATCGCAAATATCCTCATTGTCACTAAATACTATACATTCAGGTGTTAAATAATTGCCAACTGGTGTCAACTCCCTGCCCAATTCACCAAAACAATTGTGTCCCCAACCGTATACGCGGCTGTCACTTGTCAATCCCAAAACACAAGTCCGACTGTTAAAATAATTTTGAATAGATTTATGGCATAACCCTTCTATTATAACGGGTGAGTAAACTTTTCTATTGTGACCCAATCCAAGTACACCCCAATTATTAGACCCCATTCCATATACGGTGTCATCAGTGGTGGCGAATAATATGTTATAACCACCAGGTACATTTGTATATTCGTTGTGTTGATAAAAAACTTGGAATAATTTGACCTGATCCTTTAGGTTTTGTGGAATATATCTACAAATTGGAAATTTATCTAATATTGATGACATTATTAATATATATATAATATATCATTTAAATTTCTCACACAAACACTTCATATGTAATTCACAAATATTTAAAAATATAATTAATTTTATCCTATTCTTACTTAGAATAAAATTACTAGCTACCGGGTATTTTAATCACTTTAAATATAAATAAATTACAGTTTAATCCTGTACAATTAGTTTATAAGAAATACTTGTTACGACTAATACGTTTAAACCTCTCGTCGTTGAAAACATGAAACAATTGAATTCATCGAAAAATATTTTTTTAAGTTTTATTAATTTTTTTCGTTAAACTTGTGTTTCATTGTGTGAATCATTGAACACCTGTTCCTACATAGGCTTCACATCACTTGTGTGTATGGATTGGCTATTACTGGACTCCACTGCCGATAGAGTGGACATATTTGTCACATTCTTTTGGTCCACATTTTACACACAATTAGCAAATGATTTCATTAAAACTGTATTTCATTAGACATTAACTATAATTAAGTCGCAGACTTTGGGTGTGGTTTGAAACAAACACAATTGTAATGCCTATTGTCATAGTAATCAGTAAATTATTATATAGGGCAGATAATTTGTACTTACTTAAATATGATTAGATATCATATACAGTATAATAAATTTCATACAATACAAGTAATGTTAAATATTGAAAAAAATGAAAAACTATTAAAATTTATATTATTTTTTGATACGAATACTGTATAGCTATATTTAGCTAAATTAATCCGTTAATACTGTATTATTAATGTCATATTAATGTATAAACATGTTTAAATACAAAAGGCTACAAACACTATAACGGGGCACACAATTAGTTAATTTTCTCAACAATTAAGCCCATTATATTGATTGACCCCGCAAATTAATTAATTAAACCTAATCAAAAAGAGTACCAAGTTTAAATTATTATCAATTCTGAATTTAATTTTTAATTTCAATGATCTAATAAAATAACATTTTAAAAGTGTTTGAAAGTCATGAAAAATTATAAGTTTTTAATTTATATATTATTTAATAATTCAATTATTAGTGGACAGATTTTAACAAATAAGCACTCAAATTAACCAGGAAGAATCACTTAATAAGATTAGCAGTATTAAGAATTTTTATTATGTCAGGATCAAATTTTATGCAACTAAATCAGTAATAAACACTTTTATAATTTTTTAAGACCAATAAAAAACTTAAGATATAATTGTAAAATTTGGATAATTTTTATTTAATCAACGTGTTTTTAATATTTCATTGTTAATTTAATTATTTTATGGTTAATATAATATTATAAGCTCAATTGATTATTATTTTTTAATTTTTTCAATAAAATTACTTTTTTAAGCAAAAATTTGTTTAAAAAGTTATGAAATTTTTAGAAACATTTTGTTAATTATCAAGATTTTTATATTAATTAATTCTTAATTATAAATTTATACTCAATTATCTAACTATTTTACATAAATAAATTAAGTTTCCGATTATCGGATTTGACCTCCCGACGGGTTTAATTTAGTTTAAGGTCAAAAACATAGTTTTATAATTTATTATTGTTAAAGCAAATGTAATAAATTACTAGAATATATGTTTCTGATTAATTTGCAGGGTCAATCAATATAATGGGCTTAATTGTTGAGAAAATTAACTAATTGTGTGCCCCGTTATAGTGTTTGTAGCCTTTTGTATAATATAAAATTTAAAAATTAATATGAATTATTTAATAAAATATATTAAGTTCTATTATTTAGTTATTTTTATATAAAGATTATGTTAAGGTTTAGGTTTTGGTTTATGTTTAAAAAAGCTAATCAGTGAATTATTTGGCTATAATTAATTTGAGATTTAACCTGACATGTTGTGACACATAATATTATTATCAAATTATTTAATTATATCATATTTGAAAATAATTAATACCGATTTAGAAATAAACTTACCTTAACAATAATACATAGCTTAACAAATAATTACAAATATTTTTATATACCGTAACAAATAGGTTTATAAAAATTAGTTAATTTTGAACATGTATTAGAATATAATCTGTTGAAGTTTATTTAATTGTTCTGGTAAGTTTGTTTTAAATATTTTAAATTGGATCAAATACAACAAACAACAAACTTAGCAACAAATCAAACTATTTAAAACAATGTCTAACTAATGCTTACGAAATTTTGTTGTATTAAATAATTTACTTTATTAACAAAATCATTATTAATAGATAAGAGTTAATCTAATCTAGATCATTTATGGTTGTAATATGGGTTTATTTAGGTTTAAAAATATTAATTTAGGTTGACTAAAAATATTAGACTATTTAAATAAATACAAACTAAATCAACGATTATAAAAGTAATTTACTGTATATCACATAATAAACAACATTATTACATTATAACAATACTAATTATAAAATTAATACTGATGTAATTAATAAAACAATCAAATAAATTTTAAACTATTAACTGTAACACAATAATTTCATATTTATAAAAACCATACAATATATATATTTTCCTAAACATTTAATACCAATAATATCCAAAATACAAATTAATATAGTTTTCACACTAAAGATATTTTGCTATTTGTAATATTTGTCATTAATGTACTGTAGTAAACAATGATAAAAGTCACATTCAATAAACAAACTAATTAAGTTACATCAAGTTATTATAAAAAGTAATTTAAAACAGAAACTATTACTATCTATAAACTGTAATTAAACATTTGAATACTTTTAATAGTCAACAAATAATTTGAACAAACCTTTAATAACAAGTGTATCCCAAATACATTACTCAATACATCACTTGAATGTGTTTCTAATCAATTCAATGTTTAAAAAACAGGCCTAAAAACGGGATTTGTTTGATAGTAGTTTGGATTCCTAATGAATGGTATGTTTTGAGTATTGATTGGGTTGTAGTTTTGAGATATGTTTGGCATATAATGTTGTACTGTGTATGGAAAGGGAGGAATACCTGTCCCCTCAATCACATGTGGTCCTCTTGATTGTGGTCTCATTTGTTGCCAATAATTATAGCCATTATTAGGTCTTTCATTAGTCATATGATAACTGTTTCGCCGATTGTTTGCATTGACAGTGAAGTCATTGTTGGGTTGCAATGGATTTCCTTGTGGTCTGAATCTGATGTCTTGTTTATCATAATTTTGGTTAAAATTCTGATTACTTTTATTTTGATGTCTTCCTCTGAAATGAAATTGATATCCATTTCCTCTGTTTTGGTGATTATTTCTGTAGCTATTGTTCTGATGATTAGGTTTTCGTTCATTTTCATATGATTTCTGATTTTCTTCGAGTTTCTGCACTTTTGCTGAGATTTTCGTGATTTCGGTGATAATTGTTTTGAATTTAGTTTCAATTGACTTCTCATTCACTGTTTGCGGCGATTGCTGTCCATTCAGTTGAGAATATGTTTGAGAGATACTTGAGTCCAGTATATCACCCAAAATATTATGTGTTTCATTATTAGTCACATTTGTGGGCGTTTTCATGCATTCATTTTCAATATGACATGTTTTCTTAATCACAATTTCCTTTAAATCATTTAAATACTGTTTAATTTTGTCTCTTCCGATATGACCAGAAGTGGTGTTGATTTCAGTGATAATTGATTCATACTTAGCATTAAAACACGTATCAACATGTGTTTGACATGCACTTTTTATATGCCACAACATTACAAAGTTCATAATTTGATAATTTAATAAATAATTTAATAAAAAATACATAAATTCTAAGAATTCACTTGAGAAGTAAGTTATGTCATTTTATAAATAAACTTATCTGGTAATAAATTAAACTATTTCATACAAATACTAAAACTAGTAACGATTATATGACAATTCACTATACAGTATACGCTAATACTGTATAATTTGTTAATAAAATCCTTTATTTACTTATTAATACATAAGGTTTATACTGTAAATTTGACCAAGATAATTTTGGTTACTATATAGCATTTTGTTTACAGTTGCCAAACTGGTTGACCAAATTATAATTAATGCTTTTATAAGCTGTAAATAATATTTGAATACTTTTATAGTCCATAAATACTTATTGTATACTTTTAATATTAATTGTATCCCAAATACTATATAAACACTGAAATGTGATAGTAATTCAATTCATTGAATGGCAAATAATAATATCATAACAATTTTGTGAATCATTATTTGTTCATTTGGGATATATTTTATATTAAATTCAATTTGTAATTATAATCTGGTTAATTAAATACAATAATCATACAATTTCTCAATGTTTATAACAAAGTTTTAACACTATTTGCAAGTTTGATACCAAAGGTATTTCTCAATCTATGGTTTGATATTTAAATTAACTTTTAGTAACTTTTACTTCTAATTTTACTTTATAATTAATTTTGGGTAAAAATTATATCATTCGTGGGTTTATCGATTTAGTTTAATAAATTAATTAATTAAATATCACATTTGAGTGTTTATAAAGTTTTATATTTAGGATATAATTATAATTAAAAGTTTATGCAAAGTATTTATGGACTATAAAAATTATTCAAATGTTTTGTTACAGTTATTTTATAGTTAATAAGTTATTTAATTATTTTATAACTTAAATATTTGCCTGAACATAAACAAGCTAAATTAAATTTAACTAATTTTTATAAATAACTTGCTATTATAAACATTTTAAGTATCTTTTTAAAAATAGTAGCATGCAAACCTAAACAAAAGTCATTTGGTATGAAAATAAAACTGTATATCACGTAATAAACAGTCTGTTTAAAGTCCGACGTTTAAATCCGAAAACTTTGCATTTAAATGTAAAAATCGAAGTAACAATAGTTGTTCACGAAAATTGACCCTGATTGTGCCACAAAATACTGCAAATAAAGCATCGATGAGGCCATCCTTTTCCCCAATTTGCAGGACATCTCGAGTTTGCAGTTATCGTTGTTTAAGTCAAAGAAAGTCATGGCCTCTGAGGCTATGGTCGACAGATTGGCTGACATTATGCCACCGATTGTGGACAACAGGTCATCGGACTGGGATCGGGACTTAAACACCGGACTCGTCTTAACCGTCCCATAAATATGTCATTATATATAAAGTGTTTTAAAGTTTGCAACTTTTTAATTTTCTTAATTTATTATAAAAAGTAATTCATAAATGTAACATTACGTTTTATAACCTGTAACTAAACATTTAAATAATTTTTATGGCCCATAAATATTTTGTATAAAAATTGAACAAAAAGTGTATCAGAAATCGGATTATCTATATATCATTTCAGTGTTTAAGTCATTTGGTTAAGTTTGTAATACAAATACAAACTTTTTATGCTACTATAAAAGTATATGTTACTACTATACTAGTATATGTTAGTTATGTTAATTAAAATGTTATTAATATTTATTCATGTTATTCGTGAAAATTAGTTGAATTGGTTTAACTTGTTTTTTGTCACTATTGAACTCACTAAAATATTTACATACTTTTTATAAACTAACTAAATATTTGAATAATTTGACATTTAGTTTGCAAAATAATTATATTTTGACTTAAAATATTCAATGAAAAACTTGTTGTCATTTAAATAAATGAATTTTAGTGTGGAATCAGTTTTAAGACAATTCTCATGAATAGACCATAAGTTATATTCGGATAATACTTGTGAACACTCGGGTCGAGTGCTATGAATGAGAACACACATCGATTCTATGATTTGATCCAATTTAATGAATTTGTCGTATACTTCATACCCCGAGTAAATACTCAACTCCGGGGAACTGTAATCAAGAATATTAATACATTTTAGTGAATTGTTATATGTCTATAAACTTAACGTCAAAATAATTACTTAAAATCATTCAAATTAAACAATTTGTAAGCAATGATAGCAAGGCTATAAATATCCGCATTCGGTGTATATTTCGTTTGAAGTTTAACTTCCGGTGCCATGTATTTAAGAGTTCCCACTCCTGTTGTATGACTTACGGAGGAATTGGAGTGCAGTGACGCCAACCCAAAATCAGCCACTTTAAAATATCTGCCATTCCTTACATCCATCGCCACTAATATATTGTCGGTTTTTACAGATTACAAAAACCTTACGGAATGTAAAAAAGAAGTGGAGAAATTGATAAAAGTTAGGTCAGAATATTGTGTCCAATATATAGATCAATGGGCTGATAACAAAGTGTATTACATTTGTA